ACATCCTAAAAGCCATCTTGGAGCTGGGTTTCATCAAATCAAGCTTGGAGATCGTCATAGGAGTGGAAATCATCATCCCAGAGCAGATTTTCCTCAACTTTATGAGTATGACTACTTTGTATCTTGTTTTCCTCTCTCTCTCTATCGAGTAGAACCCCTCTCTCACTTGGGGATGAAGAACCCTAGTTCTATGTGTTAGGGATTGATTGTAATAACTTGGGATGATATTACTGTTTGATTTTAATCGAATGATGCATGTTTATTGAGTCAATTGAAGTCTGATCAACTTTTCCTGATTCCTGCTGCAATCTGAGATAGATAGAATCTGATTAGGTTGCTAGAGTCTCATCATTCGGTAGTAGGAGATTGGCTATACGAGAGTTAGCCAGTTTACTGCTTTGTACTGGAATCCAATTCCAGTAGTGGAGTTCTGTTCTTACTGCTTCAGCTTTCTATCCCGGTGAAGACTAGTCGTCTGCCGGGTAGTTAGACTGAGAGGGCTTGGTCAGCTTAAGAGATTCCAAGCTACTGCCGGATCTTTCGCAGTCTAATCAACAGTAAATCAACCCAGGGTAAATTGCAATTGAACCTAACTAAGGAGCTAGGGGGACTCATTCCCGAGTGACTCTTTCCTGCTTGAGAAAACCGAATAATTTCCTGCTTTATTTCTGCTTTTGCTTTTAAACAAGAATCACTCACTTTAGTTGGCTAGATAACAGAGAATCACTGAGTAAGCAGTAGATCTAGACCCCGGGTTGATAATATAACTGGCCTGTTACTGCATTCCCGGTCTGCGATTATACTTGGTCGCAGATTGGTGTTGTGTTTTGGCGTGTCAAGTTTTTGGCGCCGTTGCCGGGGACCCTCTAGGTTATTGGGGAAACGTGATAATTTGTTACTCTAGTTTTTATTTACTGCATTTTGTCTCTTCCACCTATGTGCCTTCACAGGTTATTTCTGGTGATTGTGTGCAGGTAGTGCATGACCCGTAGCCAGTCGGGAGATCTACTACCACTAGACCAGGAGCTCGAACAAACCTGCAAAAACTTCAAGCGGGCTCTAAAGGCGCGACTGGCTGCGGAGGAGGCGCTATCACATTTTCAGTTAGAAGAAGAAGAAGAAGAGATGGCTAATCCACAGGACCATGCTGTGGTCGATCCCGAGGAGCAGACCATGGGACATTACTGGATCGCCAGGGCTGCAGACATGAGGTCACCCATTCAACACCCTCATGTCCCAGCCAATAATTTTGAGGTGAGCACCTCAGTAATCACCATGCTGCGCGGTTCGGTGATGTTCTGGGGCAAAGAGGGGGAGTGCCCCCGATCACATCTCAAGCGATTCCACGAGCTCATTGATGGAATCAAGATCAATGGGGTACCAGCAGATGCTATCCAACTGAGGTACTTCCCATTCACCTTGGAGGGGCAGGCCAAGGAGTGGCTAGACACTCGACCTCCGGGCTCCATCACCACGTTCGCCAACCTGGCGGACAAGTTCCTTACTCGCTACCATCCTCCGTCCAAGATGGCGGACTTGCAGAAGCAGATCATCCACTTCACCCAGGATGAAGATGAGACCATCCGGGATGCTTGGGAGAGATACAACAGTCTCTTCCTGAGGTGTCCCAATCATGGTTTCAACGATGCTTTCAAGGTGGGAACCTTCTATCATGCCCTCTTCCCGGAGGACAAGCAGCAGATTGATTCGGTCTGTGGCGGGAACATGCTGACCAAAACACCGCCACAGCTGAATCAACTCTTTGAGGAGATGGCGGAGAACGGGTACGATTGGGGCACTGCCAGGAGATCGAGACAAGCACCAGGACGGGGTGTGCATGCTGTAGGCACCCAGTCATCTGATTTGATGCAGGTGGTATCAAAGCTGGTGTCAGCTATCGATTGTTCTGGTTTGATTGCAAGTACAGGCCAGCCGCAGGCGATGCTCTGCCAGTGGTGCGAGAGCACCCATCACATTGTGGAAGACTGCCAAGCGATGAAGGAATCGACAACACCCCAGGAGCAGGTGAACTTCATCAACAATGTTAGGCGCAACGACCCCAACAGTAACACCTACAATGAGGGGTGGCGCCAGCATCCTAACTTCTCCTGGGGTGGGGCAAATTCCAGACCACCAGTTCCCCAGGGACCACCGGGCTTCCAAAGGCCACCATATCAGCCCAGACAAGGGCAATTCCAGCAGCCACAGCAGTCTCTCTACCAGCCCATGCAGGGGCATGCTGCTCCATCACAGCCGCGACCTTTCCAGCAGCCAGGTGCAGCCCCTGCCGCCCCAGTGCAGAATGATCAGATGGCTGAACTGCGGGAATTGGTGGGTTCTCTCGCCAGTTCTAGTGCTCAGAAATTCAATACTATAGAGCAGTTCATGGAAAAGGCATCGGGTAAATTCCTGGCTCTTGAAGCTGGCCAGAGGAACACACAGGCTGTCTTGCAGGATATCCAAACCCAGCTGGGGAGTGTGGCTCAAGCAGTGGCACAAAGGGCTCCTGGTACTTTGCCCGGTCAGACCATTCCTCACCCTCAGAACCCGAATGAGCACTGCAATGCCATCATGACCAGGAGTGGCAAGATGACTATTGATCCACCTGCTCGGGCACAAGAGAGAGAGGCCCCTGCCTCGGCATCTCCAGCAGTTGAAGAAGAAGTAGAGAAGGAGGTTGAGGTGCCTGCACCTAAACCGCAACCAGTAGTGAAGGAGTATATCCCTAAACTCCCCTTCCCTACTCGGTTGCACAAAGACAGGCTGGAGGCAGAGTTCGAGAACTTCATGGCCATGCTTTGGAAGCTGAATGTCCAAGTGCCTTTCCTGGAGGCACTATCTCAAATGCCTAAGTATGCGAAGTTCCTGAAGGATCTTCTCTCAAAGAAGCAGAAGCTGAGCGAGCTGGCCACTGTGGAGCTCAGCGAGGAGTGCTCGGCCATTCTGCAGAACAAGCTTCCGCAGAAGCAGAAGGACCCAGGTAGTTTTACTATCCCGTGCTCTATAGAGAATTTGCATGTAGAGAGGTCCTTGGCGGATTTAGGTGCTAGTATAAATGTTCTGCCATATAAACTGTTTAAGAAACTAGGCCTAGGTGAACCCCGTGCTACTAGGATGAGCCTTCAATTAGCTGACCGATCTGTAGTGCATCCTAGGGGCATAGTGGAAGACCTTCTGGTTAAGGTTGGCAAATTCAATTATCCTGTTGATTTTGTGATTTTGGACATAAATGAGGATGTGAATGTGCCATTGATACTAGGAAGGCCTTTCCTGGCCACCGCCAAGGCCCTCATAGATGTGCATGATGGGACCTTAGTTTTGAGGGATGGTGAGGAGCGAATAGCGTTTTCAATTTCTAATACTCGTCCTGCTTCGTCACCTTTGCATGCTGTATCTCACCAAGAGCACGAGTCTGTCGTGTATCCTCCTGTGTTGCCTATTTTGCAGGATCCGCCTCCCATACCTTCGCCGCCACTCCCGTCCACTCCGTCATCGAAGGAACAAATCAGGGAGGAGTGGCGGCCGAAACAGCAGGCAGCTAAGCCTGCTCGAAAGAAAGCCGGAGACCACTATGAGATGGTCCCGCCCCCACCTTGGCCATCCGAGTATTCACTCGCTTGCATCCTGCCGGATGGCCAAGTTGAGTTGGCAAATGCTGGTGGCCACATTCGGCGGGTGCATGACCACCATTTGAAGTTGTACCTCAAGAGCGAGGTGGATCCGCTCTTGAAGGCACCTGCTCCTTCACCTCACTGAGCATCCACCGACTGGCGTCCAGCTAAAAGACGGTAAAGAAGCGCTTGTGGGGAGGCAACCCCACCTAGGTTTGCATTTTCTTACCTTTTTCTTTTTTCTTTTTGTGTTTTTTGAGTCTTGAGATGTTGTTCCAGAGTTGAATGTCGTTTTTGAGTGAAAACAGGTTGATTTCAGGGCTTCAGTAGTTCACACGGCCAAGCCTTAAACTCACACGGCCGTGTGGATTCTCTCCATTGGCCGTGTGAGCTCTCGGCAATTCCCACACGGCCAAAAGTGCAACTGGCACGGCCGTGTGGCTTGGCCTGGCCTGGCCGTGCGGCCGACACGGGCAAATCATTTGCTCGCACGGCCGTGTGAAGGAGTGCCCTGGCCGTGTCTGCTCTCGCTGAATATGGCACGGGCACTTGAGCACTCGGCACGGCCGAGTGAAATTCCTCGGCCAGCCAGTGTCGGCCGACACGGGCAAAAGTGCCAGCGCCACGGCCGTGCGTGTCAGGCCGTGTGGCCGAGACACGGCCTATTTATTCGGCCAGCACGGCCGGGTCGTCAAAAAATTTCAAAACACTCGCCGGAAACCTCTCCCCCTCGCCGGAAAACCGCGCCAAAACCCCACTTTTTGATTTTTTCGGCCATTTTGTGTCATCTTTTCACCAAACCAACAACAAACCCACCCTTCCTCCACCAAAATCGGCCTATCCCTCCATTTTGAGGAGATTTGGCCGACGTTTTTGTCGCCGGAGGCGATTTCCGGCGAGACTCCGGCGAGGCTCCGACGAGCACTTCCGGGCACTTTTTCGGCTTTTCGTCGCTTCCATCGCCTTCCCCTCATCATCCCCTACTCCTCTACTTGAGTCTCCGGGTTTGATTTTTCCCTTAACTATGTTAATTGTGGAGAATTGGGTGTTAGGGTGCATGTTTAGAGAACCCCATTGAATCTTGTGATTTTTGTGCAATTGATTGAGGGGAATGCATGGAGTGTGTTTGAATTGTGTTGGGCAAAGTCTCTCTTGATTGTTTGAGCCCTTGTGTGCAAGAATTGTGCCAATTTCATGTTTACCTTCATAGTGCACACAAGGTGTTCGATGAAATGCCTGTTTTCGTACCATTTTGTGGGGGTCGGTTGGGGCCCTTAATGATGTGCTTTGAGGGTGTATTTAGTATGAATGTGAACCTTGAGTTGCCTACTTGTTCATGGATGTGCACCCCCACTCAGATTATGCTTGATTTATCGAGTTTATGACCCCCGAACTATGGATGAAACCATGGTTTGGCTGTTTTTCTGTTCTTAAGTGTGGGGGTGTGATTAACATTTTCCTTGGCTGTTTTGGTTCCACTTTGGGCTGTTCTTTTGCAAGATCATGTCGAAGCCCAACCTCCGGCATCAGTATGTTCAAGATTTGAGAAGGGGGGCCCACCGGGATCGTTTTCAGAACTTCCTGGCCTGCAAGTTTGGGCAGCACCATTACTGGTCGAAGCGCGAGTTGGAGAAGCTCAACTGCTACGAGCACCTCTCCCCCGTTGTCACCAACAAATACTGGCGCCGCCTACTCAGCATCCGCGCGACGGTTTACTATGAGCTCGTGCTTGAGTTCTACACCACCTTCAAGCACGCAGCCACGGCCGATTGGAAGGACGAAGCTGCAGTCCAGTTCCGACTCGGCGATGAACCACGCTCTATGAGTTACGACGAGCTGGCGGACGCCCTGGGCCTCAACTTGGTAAATGACAGGGACTTCATCACAGAGGTCGCCGAGCCCAACAGGGTGGACTTCGGGAGGCTGTACTACAGCCTCGCTCGGCCACGACAGCTCCCCTTCAAGGCGGGGAAGACGAAGGCCACCACATTGCAGCTCGAAAATCGTCTCCTCCATCACCTGCTGGCCAAGTCTTACACCCCAGCATCAAACAGTGCCAGCGCCATCACCAAGCAATCCCTGTACTTCATTCAGTCCATGCGCCAGAGGGATCATCCCCTGCACTTAGGCTCGGTGGTGGCGAGGACCTTCGAGAAGAGTGCTTCTGAGCTGAAGAGACTCCACTGCACTCCTCTCATCACCTGCCTGGCAGAGTATTTCCAGATATCCCTGCAGGGGTGCATGGAGCAAGGAGCGACCACTCCCTTTGGCCGGGCTACGCTCACCAAGATGCTCCTGCTTCGAGAAGATCGAGGAGTCATGTGGATCGAGGGGTTTCCTCAACCCCAGATTCCAGAGGCGGTCCAGTAGGAGGCTCCCGAGGGTGCAGCTGATGAGGAGGTCCAGCCCGAGGACGTGGATGACACTGCTGCTGCCCACCCCACCACCTTCGAGTACGGGGGTGGCATTTCCAGTTTCCCGGGTCAGGATTATGACTCGACTCTACTGTCACTCCAGGAATTGGCCAAGTGAAACCACTTCCTAAAGCGTAGTATAGCGGGTTTGGGTTTAATTATCAACCCGGGTCCTAGATCTGATGACTACTCAGTGAATTCTTGTTATCTAGCAATGAAACTGGCATGCAAGTCTAAACTACCAAACAAACAAAGCAAAGCAGGTAAACGGTTGTATTCAAGTTAAGAGAGGTCACCCGGATATGGTTCCCCCTAGACTGCAGTTAAGCCGGATTGTAATTACCAAGTTCAGTTTCTATGATGGTTATACTGCGGAAGGTTCTTAAACAGCCTGAAGTCTCGACTAAAGGTCTTCAGACCCTCTCAATCTGACTCTCTAGCGGGCGACTAACCTCCACCGGAGTCGATAGATTGAGGCCCTAAGAACAAAACCTCCACTACCGGAGTAAATCCGGTACAGAATAGTGAGTTGGCTCCTCGACTAAAGTCACCAACTCCCTACCTTCAATCAAGGATACTCTATTAACCTAGGCAGATATTCTCATTCTAGGTTAAAGCAGAAACAACAGGAATTTGATCAGGATTCAAGTCATTCAATCATTAAAACCTCAATCGAATATAATCAATCACAGAATCAGTACTTGGGTTCATACAATCAAAGCCTAACATACAAATCTAGGGTTCTCCATACCCAGATGAATGGGAGAACTACTCCATGGAGAAGAAAGCAAAAGCAGAATCAGACACGAAATTCATACTGCAAAGGATGGATTCCTGCTTTTGGACGTTGATTGGCACTTCTCCAAGGTCAAGCTGGCCTCCAATGGTGTTGAAGATCAATCTAGGGCACTTGGGAACTCTTGCTCGTCACTTTCTCTCTCTAGGAACTGATCTCTCTCTCAAAAACTCGAATCCCCCTTCTGTTGGGCTGAAAATTTGCTTAAAAAGGCATCATCCAAAGCACGGTCGAGGGCACGGCCGTGTAATGCCTCAGCCCGCCCGTGCTTTGGCTAGTGTTAATTACACTAGCAGCAGTGGGGAGAAACACGGCCGTGCTTCGCTTTGGACACGGCCGTGTAATGCTTGAACACGCCCGTGCTTTGTTTTGGCCCTGCCCGTGTAATCAGCTCAGCCCTCGGCATAAAAAGCACGGCCACCAGAACACGGCCGTGTAATGATTTAGGTGTGCCCGTGTTTTGGCTCCAGCTCACCGAAATGACTTCCGAATGCCCCGAAACTCGCGCTTAGCCTTCCCTTTGACACCTGGGACCTGAAACATGACAAAATAGCACAACCCGGCGTAAAATAGGCCACAACACACGAATATGCCCCTCAAACGGATAAGAACTAGGGGCGCAAACATGTGCAATTACATCGTTATCAAACTCCCCCACACTTAACCGTTTGCTTGTCCCCAAGCAAACCTAACTCAAACCAATGCAACTCTCCAGACCTCTATAGCAACAAACAACCTAGATCGTAGGTAGAGGACTTCCTAGATCATTTAGCAGCTTACGAGGTCAACCGACGCACAAGTAATCTCATAGCTTCTTCGGTGAGTCGGCATCTTGGCAAACAGTGAACAGAGGACAAATGAATTGTGGATGAAGAGATTCTCAAAAACAAAAGATCATGGACTCACATTTTTCAAGGTGCTCGATTTTCTTTGAAGATGGTTGGAACCCCCTTTTTTTCTGTTTTGCTTGTTTTCTGTTATTTTTCTTTTCTTTTTTTCTTTTCAAGGGTCCCAACCTGCTCTTACCGGCCATGCCAGGAGCGGATGTCTCGAGCCTCGTGCGGGGGAAAGACATGTAAGGGGGCTGGAGGTAGTAGGTGGAAATTGGGAACGGATTCCCGTCTCCCCTTACACACTTTCGCCCTATTCGCACGGGAGACGTTTATTTTGAAGCACATTTTCGAGCACCTGTTATTTTCAAAACATGACACAAGAGTCCATGACAGGTAGAAAATCCACAACATCACACAATTCAAGGGTCCTAAGATCACTAATTCACTCAATCATCCAACATAATATGAAGAAGAAATGAGATTTCTTGAATGCATCAACATCCTCCATAGTGCTACACTACCTCCCTAGGTTGCATATTACTATAAAGACTGTCAATTCAAAGCATACTGAGCAGGCAATTGCATGGAAACACGTACTTGGAGCCCTCAAATTTAAAAATTTGGACAGTGGACTAGGCTCCAAGCACACAAACAGATCTAATGCAGTCAAAAAGATAAACATCCCCCCACACTTAAGCTCGACATTGCCCTCAATGGAGAAGAGGGAAGGATAAGGGAACGATGTTACCGGTATGCATGGACTGCAGGAGACTGGAAACGGGCCAGTCGGGGCAAGCACAGCCAAAAAGGGGAACAGAAGAGCTCAAACACAATATGTTAGGTTCAATGGTCAGCCCAATAAAATATCATCCAAACCAAAAGAAAACAAACCAAACCCAAACCGGGTTACAATCAGACTCAAAACACAAGAAAGAAAATCAAACCGTGGTGGGGTTGCCTCCCCACAAGCGCTTCTTTACCGTCGTATTAGCTGGACGCCCATGGTGGATACTCAGGGCGGTGCAGGAACAGGTGCCTCCAAGAGCGGATCCACATCGCTCTTGAGGTACAGCTTGAGGTTGTGGCCATGCACCCGACGGATGCGACCACCCTCATCAGTCAGCTCGACCTGCCCATCTGGCAAGATGCAGGAGAGCGAGTACCCAGACGGCCAGGGTGGTCGTGGTGCAGGAGGTGGGACCAGCTCATAGTGGTCTCCACTCTTCTTCCGTGCAGGCTTAGCAACCTGCTGCTTCGGCCGCCACTCCTCCTTGAGCTTTTTGTTCGGAGGCGTGGCTGGATGGAGTGGCGGTGAAGGACTGATAGGAGGGTCCTGCAAAATGAGAGGAGCAGCAGGATACACGACTGGCTCGTGTACCTGATCAGACATAGCATGCACAGGCGTGACATCAATCATAGCACAGTGATCAAACTCAGTCACAGAAAAAGTAGCCTGTTCATTCCCAGCACACAAGATCAGTTTTCCTTCATGCACATCAATAAGTGCCTTGGCGGTGGCAAGAAATGGCCTACCTAGAATCAAAGGTACATCAACATCCTCATTTACATCCAGAAGAACAAAATCAACAGGATATGTGAATGCACCAACATGAACAAGCAGATCCTCTATAACACCCCTAGGATGCACAATGGAACGGTCAGCGAGCTGAATGCTCATCCTAGTAGGGCTAAGTTCACCTAAGTCTAGCTTCTTAAACAACTTATATGGCATGACGTTTATGCTAGCACCTAGGTCCGCCAAGGACTTGCCTACATGCATGCTGCCAATAGTAAGAGGGATAGTAAAACTCCCTGGATCCTTGCGCTTCTCGGGCAGCTTGTTCTGCAGGATAGCAGAACACTCCTCGCTCAGCATCACTGTCGAGAGATCCCCAAGTTTCTTCTTGTTGGTGCAGATATCTTTCATGAACTTGGCATACTTGGGCATCTTCGACAGTGCCTCCATGAACGGTATGCTGATGTTGAGCTGCTTCAACATTGCCATGAACTTGGCAAACTCAGTCTCCAGCTTGTCCTTGTGTAGGCGAGTGGGGAAGGGAAGCTGGGGCACATGCTCCTTAACCACTGGTTGTGGCTTGGGAGCAGGGGCTTCCTTCTCCACCCGCACTTCTACATCGTCGGCTGGAAGTGCTGAAGCAGGTAGTGGTTCCTCCTGTCTGGACGGGACAGGATCAGCAGATATGACCTTACCGCTCCTGGTAAAAATGGCATCCAGCTGCTGATGCTGGTGGGGATCTCGAGGATTCGGAACAGTGGTGGCAGGCAGAGTCCCCGGTGCCCTGGTGGTGTTCTGGCGGGCCAAGATGCCCACCTGGGTCTGCAGATCCTGCAAAATGGCACCCTGGTTCCTCTGACCTGCCTCCAGGGAGGCTACACTCTGGTCCAACCTCGTGATAGTCGCATGAGTGCTCGTCATAAATGAAGCTAGAATATTTTCCAGCTTCGTCATCTGAGTATCTGGAGTTGGAGCTGCTGCTGGCTCGGCAAACTGGCGCTGGGGCTGCTGGAAGGGTTGCCCTTGCCGAGGCTGGTAGGGCTGCTGCTGTGGAACTGGCCCTTGTCGAGGCTGGTAGGGCTGCTGCTGCTGAAAGCCACCAGCTGGTGCTGGGAAACCAGGTGGCTTGGTGGTGTTACTGCCCCAAGAGAAGTTGGGATGCTGGCGCCACCCCTCATTATAGGTGTTGCTGTACGGGTCGAGGCGCCGAGCATTGGCGATGAAGTCCAACTGCTCTTGGGGGGTAGTAGACTCCCTCATAGCCTGGCAGTCTTCTACTAAGTGGCTCGAGCTCTCACACCACTAACACTGAGCAACTGGAGGTGTAGCCATGCCTCTGCCCGGAATAAGACTGTTGGGCTGCTTCAATGTCTGCACTAGCTCAGCTACCTGCTGCTCGAGCCCGGATCTGGTCTCCATGGCGTGTACACCACGGTCCCTGGAATGTCTGCCTCTGCTGCTCTGCCCCCAAGAATGATCTCTGGCAGCCAATGTATTAATCATCTGATTCAGCTCGGGTGGAGTCTTGGTGAGAACATCCCCTCCTGGGCATAAAGACTCAATCATCCTCTGGCTATCTGGGGAGAGAGCGCTGTAGAAGTTCCCCACAGTGAAAGCATCACTAAAGCCATGGTGGGGGCACTGCCAGAAGTAGCCCATGTACCGCTCCCAAGCATCACGGAGTGACTCATCTGGCTCCTGGCGGAAGTGAGTGATCTCCCGCTGAATCTCTGTAGTCTTCGATGCCGGATAGTACCTGTGCACGAACTTGTCCGCCAGATCGTCCCAAGAGGTGATGGATAATGGGGGCTGGGTCTCCAACCACCTCTTAGCATTCCCCGCCAGAGAATGGGGAAAGAGATGAAGGCGGATTGCATCATCCGGGACACCGTTCAGCTTGAACCCGTTCGTCAGCTGCAGAAAACGGGACAGATGCACCCTGGCCTCCTCATCCTTCAAGCCATGGAACTGGATGGAAGATGTAATGAGCTGAATCCAGCATGGCTTGATCTCGAAGTTGTTTGCTGGGATAGGCGGGTAGAGGATGACCGGGCGGATGTCAGCAATCCGCGGAGTGTAGTAGTACTCCAAGGTGGGACCCGGCTGCGGTGGATGATGAACTCCATGATCCTGGGGTATGGGGTTGTTCCCCAGGACCTGATTCACCGGGGGAGCCTGCTGAGGATTCCCCTGGTGTTGATTGTAGTCTTCCATCTCGTACTCCTCCTCAGAATCACTGCTCACGTGGCCGTCTATGCGCTCTTCCGTAGCCAGTCTAGCTCGCTGTTGTCTCCTGAGCTGGCGACAGGTGCGGTCAATCTCTGGATTCAACGGCAGTAAACCTCCTGACTGGCTACGGGTCATGCACTACCTGCACACACTCAAGCAACAAACCCGTGAAGGCACAAGTGGAACAAAGCAAACAAAGCAAAAAGAAAAGCTAAATTAACAGAAATCACTTCTCTTCAACAACCTAGCCGTCCCCGGCAACGGCGCCAAAAACTTGACTCGACTCTACTGTCACTCCAGGAATTGGCCAAGTGAAACCACTTCCTAAAGCGTAGTATAGCGGGTTTGGGTTTAATTATCAACCCGGGTCCTAGATCTGATGACTACTCAGTGAATTCTTGTTATCTAGCAATGAAACTGGCATGCAAGTCTAAACTACCAAACAAACAAAGCAAAGCAGGTAAACGGTTGTATTCAAGTTAAGAGAGGTCACCCGGATATGGTTCCCCCTAGACTGCAGTTAAGCCGGATTGTAATTACCAAGTTCAGTTTCTATGATGGTTATACTGCGGAAGGTTCTTAAACAGCCTGAAGTCTCGACTAAAGGTCTTCAGACCCTCTCAATCTGACTCTCTAGCGGGCGACTAACCTCCACCGGAGTCGACAGATTGAGGCCCTAAGAACAAAACCTCCACTACCGGAGTAAATCCGGTACAGAATAGTGAGTTGGCTCCTCGACTAAAGTCACCAACTCCCTACCTTCAATCAAGGATACTCTATTAACCTAGGCAGATATTCTCATTCTAGGTTAAAGCAGAAACAACAGGAATTTGATCAGGATTCAAGTCATTCAATCATTAAAACCTCAATCGAATATAATCAATCACAGAATCAGTACTTGGGTTCATACAATCAAAGCCTAACATACAAATCTAGGGTTCTCCATACCCAGATGAATGGGAGAACTACTCCATGGAGAAGAAAGCAAAAGCAGAATCAGACACGGAATTCATACTGCAAAGGATGGATTCCTGCTTCTGGACGTTGATTGGCACTTCTCCAAGGTCAAGCTGGCCTCCAATGGTGTTGAAGATCAATCTAGGGCACTTGGGAACTCTTGCTCGTCACTTTCTCTCTCTAGGAACTGATCTCTCTCTCAAAAACTCGAATCCCCCTTCTGTTGGGCTGAAAATCTGCTTAAAAAGGCATCATCCAAAGCACGGTCGAGGGCACGGCCGTGTAATGCCTCAGCCCGCCCGTGCTTTGGCTAGTGTTAATTACACTAGCAGCAGTGGGGAGAAACACGGCCGTGCTTCGCTTTGGACACGGCCGTGTAATGCTTGAACACGCCCGTGCTTTGTTTTGGCCCTGCCCGTGTAATCAGCTCAGCCCTCGGCATAAAAAGCACGGCCACCAGAACACGGCCGTGTAATGATTTAGGTGTGCCCGTGTTTTGGCTCCAGCTCACCGAAATGACTTCCGAATGCCCCGAAACTCGCGCTTAGCCTTCCATTTGACACCTGGGACCTGAAACATGACAAAATAGCACAACCCGGCGTAAAATAGGCCACAACACACGAATATGCCCCTCAAACGGATAAGAACTAGGGGCGCAAACATGTGCAATTACATCATTATCAAACTACTTCACCTCCCAGTTTGAGCAGCTGCGTCTCCAGAACCAGCAGATCATCGACCATCAGATGCAGTTCCTGCAGCAGTACGCGGCCCACCAGGTCGCGTACCACCAAAGGATGGCAGGTTACGATGAGAGATTGGACCAGCTCCAGACCCAGCAGAGAGTGACCCTCGCACACATCGAGCGAGAGAGGCGCCGTTCTCGGCGCATGCAGGAGGTCCAGCAGCATCTGCTCCAGCTGCTACCGGGCGAGCAGCCAGTCTGGAGGACTCCCTGGGAGGACTCTCCACTTCCACCTCCCCCTGCGGATGGTGATGATGGTGCCGATGGTGGTGACGCCTTCATGAACGACATCAACTTCAATCTGGACGACCTCGGCGACGAGTAGGCTGTACTCGTTGCCCATCTCAGTGTGTTTTGTTTTTCGTTTTAGACTTGTGTGTGTTTGCTCCATGTGTGAGGAGCTTGAACTTAGTGTCGTTTGTTTTTGTTTGTTTCTTTTGTGGATTGTTTTTGCTGTAGCCGTCTGGGCTAACACTTATCCCTAACGCATAGTGTGCTAGTGTGTTCTTGGTGTTTGATTCGTGCAGCACTGTCCATCTTCCCGTTTGTTTCTCGCTGACTGGTCCACTTCCAGTCCCCCAGCAGTTTCAATCCGGTAACATCGTTCCCCTTCTCTATTCCTCTGCTCCATTGAGGGCAATGTCGTGCTTAAGTGTGGGGGGGGGGGGGGGGGGGTGCTTTGTATCGATTGGAATGTATATATGTGTGCTTGGAGCCTAGTCCACTGTCCAAATCTTGAGATTTGAGGGCTCCAAGTACTGCTGTTTGATCATATTGGCACTGTGTTTTGATTGATGAATTGAATGGTTTTCGGATTGATGCATGACAGCTTGATTGTGACTAGGACAACCTATGATGAGGACTAAGACGTGCAGTAGAGTTGTGTAGGGGTTCAGTTTTTCAACTGTTTGCTTACCAACTGTGACTTGGATTGATTACTTGTTCTCGACAGTCTCTTATGCATCTAGTTCAGGGTATCAGAATGTGAGATAGAGCATATAGGTAGCCATGTGAGATTTGAGCCTGCTCGTTTCTTTCTTGTGCGATAGATCCCTCTTCCATGATGTGTAGCATTCACGTTGTCACTTGCTAGGATGATGGGGGCATAGGATTAGCCCACGACCAAATTTGACTGTCCTGATGTGTCATATCCCCTAGTCAGCCCTTTTGAGCCGTGTGTTATCCTTTCTTTTGGTCTGAAATGAAAAAAATCACCTTGTTTACATCTTTTAGAAGGTTCCACAGAGTGGTTTTTACATATTCTCTGCTGTTTCTGCTAAATTTGATGTGAGTGTTGGAGGTAGTGCTTAAAAGTTGAGCTGGGCAGGTGTTTGAAATATATGCAGAAGTGGTGGCTCTCTTAAGAAAAGAAAAGAAAATGAAAGAAAAACAAAGAAAATTGAAAGCAAAGAGAGCCACTACCAAAAATCTGAATAATGCCCAGTATGTAGTGTTTCTTAGCGGTCTGGCTTGGAAATGCTGACATTTATACCTCCTTCGCTCTTGTGCTCTTGAGATATTGAGTAATGCAGAATAGCAGAAAGGAAATACCGGTTTGTTTGACTGTGATTGTTTGGATTTGGAAATGTGGAACCTTGTGCTATGAATACTTCCACCACCTAAAAGGCTTTTTCCCCATGTCCAAGACCCTAGCCGGTCATTTGAACCTGTGTCTAAGACCTCCTGATTAGTTAGTGGTGACACCCCATATGTGAACTCTAGCATTTAGAGGCTGCCATCATGGTGAAGAGATGTTAGGGATTGAGAGAAATAACATGCGCATTTTTCGCATCAAATTGTCCTGACCCCACTGGTCGAGAGTGAGTGATTCATTTTTCATATTCTATATACTCGTGTACCCCGGTGAGGACCTAGATTGCTCGGTCTCTATTCTGATGTCGTGAGTTGGATGCATGAGTTGACTGTTTTGAGTAAGTGGTTGAGTCAAGTCTAGGTTGGCTGGTGAACAGAAGAGAGACTCTTCCTTTACTCGAGTTTGCTGCACTCGAATGTCCTTTGTGGTGGTTGTCCAGGTTGCTATTGAGGTTGTTCATGTATTGATGTTTGAAAACCAGTACGATTCACGTGTTCTGTGCCTTTATGACTTGTCCCCAATGTTGGTTGATTGAAATTTGTAAGCTTACCTGGTGTCTGACTTGGTTTGCTTGGGGACAAGCAAACGGTTAAGTGTGGGGGATTTTGATAGACCGTTAATTACACATGTTTTCACCCCCGTTCTTACACCGTTTGAGGTGTTGATTCTCGTGTTTTAGGCCGATTTCACGCTAGGTTGTGCTTGTTTGTGATATTTCAGGTCCTAGTACGTGAATGGAGGCTTGGGAGCGAGTCTGGGGTCGATTGGACGAAGATCGGACGAATGGCGAGGTTTCAAGGAAGCCGCACGAGCAGACCAGGGCATCACACGGCCGTGCAAGTGAGCAAAGTGGTCGTGTGATTTTTGCCGAGGCCACACACGGGCAACCCATGAAATCCACACGGCCGTGCCACCCTGGCCGTGTGAGATGGCTGAAGACCGAACTAATCCATACGCTGCGTTTCGACTCGCACGGGCAAAGTGGTGAGCCACACGGCCGTGTGGCTTGCCCGTGCGAGTCGGGAAATCTTGGTTTTTCAGCCAATTTCGAGCCACAAGGGATCGATCGGACTTTTTGGAGCACAAACAGAGCCCTAGAGAGAGAAAGTACGAAGAACACATCCTAGAAGCCATCTTGGAGCTGGGTTTCATCAAATCAAGCTTGGAGATCGTCATAGGAGTGGAAATCATCATCCCAGAGCAGATTTTCCTCAACTTTATGAGTATGACTACTTTGTATCTTGTTTTCCTCTCTCTCTCTATGGAGTAGAACCCCTCTCTCACTTGGGGATGAAGAACCCTAGTTCTATGTGTTAGGGATTGATTGTAATAACTTGGGATGATATTACTGTTTGATTTTAATCGAATGATGCATGTTTATTGAGTCAATTGAAGTCTGATCAACTTTTCCTGATTCCTGCTGCAATCTGAGATAGATAGAATCTGATTAGGTTGCTAGAGTCTCATCATTCGGTAGTAGGAGATTGGCTATACGAGAGTTAGCCAGTTTACTGCTTTGTACTGGAATCCAATTCCAGTAGTGGAGTTCTGTTCTTACTGCTTCAGCTTTCTATCCCGGTGAAGACTAGTCGTCTGCCGGGTAGTTAGGCTGAGAGGGCTTGGTCAGCTTAAGAGATTCCAAGCTACTGCCGGATCTTCCGCAGTCTAATCAACAGTAAATCAACCCAGGGTAAATTGCAATTGAACCTAACTAAGGAGCTAGGGGGACTCATTCCCGAGTGACTCTTTCCTACTTGAGAAAACCGAATAATTTCCTGCTTTATTTCTGCTTTTGCTTTTAAACAAGAATCACTCACTTTAGTTGGCTAGATAACAGAGAATCACTGAGTAAGCAGTAGATCTAGACCCCGGGTTGATAATATAACTTGCCTGTTACTGCATTCCCGGTCTGCGATTATACTTGGTCGCAGATTGGTGTTGTGTTTTGGCTACCGTGAACTTCAACGCCATGAACAAGCTCCAGACTAAGAAGCCATGGACCCTGTCCTTCTCTTTCGGACGTGCCCTCTAGTAGAGCACCCTCAAGGCCTGGGCTGGCAAGGAGGAGAACTGGAAGAAGGCACATGATGCTTTGCTCACCAGGTGCAAGGCCAACTCCGAGGCAGTGCTCGGGAAGTACAAGGGAGATGCTACCCCTGCCGAGGGCGCTTCGGAGAGCCTCCATGTCAAGGACTACAAGTACTGAGCAACGCGAAAGATGACTTTCTCCTTGGTGGAGGCGTAGCCCCTATGCTTGCAGTTGCAGACGTTGCCTCCAGTTTTAGAGGTTACTTACAACAAACCTGCAAATAACATAGAGTGTGAAAGGAGCTAGTGCTGTCGGCTTGTCGAATGTGGTTCATGTGTGAGTGAGTATACTGTATCCTCGCGAGTATCTGAATCAACGTGCGAAAGGAGGTTGCCGGCGACGAAATCGCGATTGTCGTGGCGAAGGTGATGGACAAGAAGGAGCTGGTGAGAAGGAACAAGGAAGGGAGGGCGAGGACGGAGAAGGAGATTCTGAAACTGCTGAGAAGGGATTCATCAAGCGGCGGCCAGCTGAGAAGCTCCTCCGCCGACTGGAAACGCATGCCTCCTACGACTCTGTTGGTCTGGTGCTGCAATTAATTTTTCCTCCGACGAAAAGTAAAGTACCAATTAATGGCTCATTGGTCCGTTTTGACTATTTGGTTTTAATAAATCAGTTATTGTGTTATTTGATGTTATTTGATATTTAATGATCCGTTTTAAGTGATTAATGAGTCACTAAAGCGGTCTTTTAATGACGCTTTACAACCTTTAATGGTTGGTTTATATCTCAAATTATGGGATAAAACGAATTAATTCTTGATTTCCAGAATTAATTTCTGGCTTTCAAAGTATCTTTGGCACAAGGGTTCAGTCTATTCCTTCGGTGGCTACTTCAGTATCCACGTCCGGTTATTCGACGAGACTGTGGCCAAACACGGTGGTTTCCCCACCAACAAAGTTCCCGTCGATGGCCACTCAGGCAAAATTATTTCGCATTAATCGCTTCGACTTATTGAGCGGTTTTCTTGACCATGATCCTAGCCATCAATGGAAGCAAATTCCGAGGTAAAGAGGTGAGCGCTTATTTTGGTTCATTGGAGCTAAAAAGTCGCCTTGTAATTATTGGCTCCTAACTTTGCGATTCTCCAGATTAAGAAATTAATTGCTATTCAAATGATTACGCTCAAGCTTTGTATCTCACCGGGTGCCACCCTGTGATTAGTGCGGGTATTAACTCTCACCCTCCCTTTAATAATGGTGTCGATTTCCCTCTAATTCACTCGATAGTGTCACTGATCAACCCATTATTTTTTAGAATAATTAGCCCATCAATTATTGGGATAGTGCAGTAAAACAAATCCCGTGTCTATTTTATCGCTGAGATTTGAAACATGGAGGAATTGGGTGATTAATTAAGGGATTAAGTTAAATTTCCTTCTTTATCCATTTTTCATATTAATTGGGACCAATGGATAATTATGAAATTAATTGGTACCATATTAATTGTGCTCAGATTCTTCATATGGCAATAGGGATGGCAAAATTATCCGTAACCGTGGATATCCGCTCGAACCCGACCTGATCGGGAAGGGTAAAACCCGAAGCCGAAGAACTTTTATTGGGTATGGGTAAAATCCGAACCCGAATATTGCGGGTAATGGGTGGGCATGGTAGAAATAGTCATTATTTTTCTCTAACATACTTTATATTTAGCATACAAATATAATATTTCATGAAATTGTGTTGTTTTAATTAGTTTTCTCCATTCAAGTGATTTATTGGCGTACATTTTCTCTTATGTAATGTGAGTATATGTGTGAATGTTAACATATTGGTTGAGGTTAAAAAGAGAAATGATTATCCATGGATAACCGTGGATACCTGAAACCCGAACGGGTATGGACATGGTTTTTATTTTTTACCCGTTTTTATTTTCTTATGTGGGTATGGGTATGGGTATGGGTAAAACCCGAACTACTTTGGATAGGTTAATGGATATACACTATCCGCCCCCGACCCGAGCCGTTTCCTATATGGCAATGCCTCAAAGTCATACTTCCCACAGTAGTGGCCCTTCAAACTCGTGGAGTAAACTGCCTTAACCGATGGCCTGTCTGCTAGAGACATCGAGAAAGCATTGAACATTTATTATTCAGATGCCCCCTAGCCATCAGATTGTGGACTTTAGTGGGATTGAGCAACTTTATTGAGACCGCCCAGACTGTTAACTTTAGTCTATGGTGGCGACATGTCATGATCTCCGAGACCTCCCCATTCCACATTCTCCAATGTGTCTGTTTACTTTGGAGAATCTGGAAGTCTAGAAATAAAGTGACCTTTGAATTTATCCAACCTCATGTCCGTACCCTAGCAAGACAGTTCTACAACCAGGTCCTCGAAATCTCCAGCCTTCTTCTCCCCCTCCTCCCCGCAGCTCTCTACTCGCGAACCTTCCTGCCACCACTTGGGTCCCTCCACCAGAAGGCTTTTTGAAGATCAACTTCGACGCAACAGTTTGTGCCTCCGGGTGTTCATCTGGGCTTATTATCCGTGGGTCAAACGGGCATGTGATGTTGGCGTTCGGGTTGCAGCATCAAGGAATAGTCAAAGGTGATTCCGAAATGGTCGTCAACCAAGTCCGTCAAGGCGTCTTAGAAGACTCGATTGGTGGTCCGATGTTCGAGAGTGTCTTCAGATCCTTAGCTCTTTGTCTGTTAGTATAGAGTTTAGGGCGGTACCTAGATCCGCCAACAGTGCTGCCCATAGAGTGGCGTGTAAAGCACTGCTTTTGTCTCGTGTAGAGCTAGAATCTTTTGATTTTTTTGGGGTGGCTTCTTTAGAGTCTTTTAGGGGTCCTGTGTAGAATTGTAAGCTTAACTATTATTTTCCATTGATATCACTCAGAAATAAAAAAAGGGGTTCTGTCAGGGTGACCCAATTTTACCCTATCTGTTTGTCATCGCGATGGAGGTATTTACCTGTTTATTGTATGTGGAAGCTAGGGCAGGGCATCTACCATACCATCCTATGTGTAAGCAGGTCAATTTGACACACTTGTGCTTTGCTGATGACGTGCTTGTGTTTACTGATAGTCCTCATATGAGATTACAGTGTGTGAAGAGGGTTCTTGAGCAATTTAAGCAATTGTCAGGTCTTGCTTATAATACATAGAAATGTGAGTTGTATTGTGGAGGGTTGACCAGGGAGCAAAATGATAGAATGGCAGAGAGTTCAGGGTTAAAACTTGGAAACTTTCTGGTGAGTGGTGAGGTATCTTGGGGTTCCACTTGTGGTAGGAAAATTGTCTATCTCTACATGTAGGCCTCTAACAGTTAAGATTGTGGCAAGAGTCCGAGATTGGAAGTCTAAATCTCTTAGCTATGTTGGGAGAGTTTAACTGGTAAAATCTGTATTGATGAGCCTCTCCCAATTCTGGATGTCTGTTTTCCCTACCCTATTACGTTTTGCCTAATCATATTGTTCATACAATTGCAGCAGAATTAATCTCGGGTGTTACATTAATTATCAAAATTTACCCAAATAAATTTTCGACATGAATTACTCACGTAATGGGCTAACAGTTCTTGCAACTTATCCTGCAAAATAACTCATCACAAACATATATGCTCACAACCATATGCATTGGCTTTTCTTAGCCATAGTCACACTTTTCATACTCCACAACTGCATACCATACTTATACATACCATAATGGTCACAACTTACACAGTTACACAACATATACACATATCATCAACTTGCCACACCTGCGGATATCTCACACTACATCAGAAGCTAGTATGCCCATGAAAAACGTTCTCAAAACATTTTTACAAAAAGGTGTGGATCACTGACCAAAATCATGAGTAGTCATCCAAGCACAGAATAGTTGAAGACCATACCTCATCCTGGCTTCAACTCTAGCTCCTCTCCCACCTAACACTTATCTACTGCTGTTGCTGATGATCTGCTTACACATAGCATAAGCAGAGAAGAAGAATAAAAGGGGGTCAGCTCATAGCTGAGTGAGATAATCATAGCATCGTGAGTTCATAACAGAGCATACCCCTATCACACATGTAACAATCAAGCCAAAACACTAGGATCGGATCTCAGCCATCCTCATATCCCAATAGGCAAAAGACTCAACCACCTTGACTTATGCATATGCATCTTATCATGTTTTAATCATAGGCGCCTGGCTACTCCCATTCTAATTACTCTCCCGGGAATACGGACCAAACATCTCGTGGATGTGGTCATATCGGACCCACCACTGTCGGTGTAGTCATATCGGACTTGTCATATCTCATGATGAATCAACGGTCAACACCACATCAGGGGTGTGACATAACATATCATAACGGAGTAATAGCATGGGGAGCTCTAATTACTATTTAATTGACCATGAGACCAAATTACTCTTACTTGGTATCCTTATCCATGATCCATATCTCATCTTGCTTAATCATAATTCACTACTTGCACATGTACTTGACCTGGCCATAATTGACTCAACATAGGTAAATCAGGAGTCGTATAATTGCACTTCCTCGGGATAAACCCTCGTGCAAGTCATCCTCCTTAAAGGTCATAATATCACCAGGGAATATATCCCACATGTGCATCCAAATACAACAATCATGAAAAATCATACCCAATCACCTTTTCGAACCATCATAAGGCATATCAACAGTCAAGCCCACAATTTGCAACATATACGAAATCATCAGCATAAACAAGGTCCATCTCGATTAGGGCAAGTCAATAATATCATACAGATGTCCATGGTTCATCATATAGCACAAAAGTTCATACACCCTTAATCATGCCATTCTAGTTCACCTAGGTCAATTCTAAGCATCAATATAATTATCGTGATACAACAAACCCGGTATGCCGTGCTAATCCCTCACCACTTCTGGTCGTTCAAACACCGGTTTACCTTCCCGTACTAAAATGTCAATTTCACGAAAGAACCCCGAATTAAAATCCGAGACCATCCTAATATCCCCTCCAGTATCCCCGTCAGTATTAGTTCTAGGCTCCGGGTCAAATTCTTGATAAAAACACATCAAACCCTTGCCGGAGCTAAATTCAGCGATTTGGACCCCGACCTAAATAATTATCGAAATTTAGGGATTAGAACTAGAGGATTGATTACCTCGCTGCAGG